GTAAAAGTAGAAGAATCCCTCTCAATACCTATCCCACTCTCCTTACCACCTAAAGCTGTTAATCCCTCTGAGGTCAAATACCTTTTACGGAAAATCACTCCTCGCAAATCTCCTGGATATGACCTTCTAACCCCACAGATCCTTCGACAACTTCCATCTAAAGCCATCATATTTCTTACATATATATACAATTGCATCCTACGAACTACCCACTTCCCTCTTTTATGGAAACATTCCACCATCGTCCTCTTCTTGAAACCAGGCAAACCTTCCAACAATACAGCATCCTATAGACCAATTAGCCTACTCCCAATCCTCTCAAAAATTTTTGAAAAGATCCTACTGAAACGAATCCTACCTATAATTGAATCCTATAACCTTCCTACTCATCAATTCGGATTTCGTTCCCAACATTCCACTGTCCAACAAGGACTCCGAGTTGTTGACCATATATCCTCAACCCTAGAAAGCAAGCAGTATTGCTCGGGTGCATTTCTGGACATAGCGCAAGCTTTTGACCGGGTATGGCACGCCGGATTACTCTTCAAGCTTAAAATCCACCTACCACAGTCCTTATACCTAGTACTCCGATCCTATCTTTCCGACCGCTCCTTCCGAGTTCGCTGTGGCACCGAATTCTCCGACTGTTACTCAATTGAGGCTGGCGTTCCTCAAGGCAGCGTCTTGGGCCCCATCCTTTACATTCTCTTTACCGCTGATATTCCTGTCCATCCCGATACCCTCCTGGCAACTTTCGCTGATGACACTGCTATCCTTTCTTCCAACTCAGATCCTGAAACAGCGTCCGCAAACTTACAAAGGCACCTCTTCCTGATTGAACACTGGTGTAAGAAATGGCGCATTAAGGTAAACGAATCTAAATGTAAACACATTACCTTCACCCTTCGGCGTAATACCTGCCCACCAGTTTATTTTAACTCCATCCAGCTTCCTTTCTCAGATACAGTCCGGTATCTTGGCTTTCTCTTAGACAGACGACTAACATGGAATCCACATACTAGACTTAAAAGACAGGAACTTAACAGACGATATGGCCAGCTATATAGACTACTGAATAGAAAATCTAAACTTTCTGGTGAAAACAAATTACTGATCTACAAGACAATACTGAAACCCATCTGGACTTACGGACTAGAACTATGGGGAACAGCCAAATTTTCTAACATCAAACGCATTCAATCCTTTCAGTCTAAAGTCCTCCGTACAATAGTCAATGCTCCCTTCTATGTAACCAATAAAACCCTACACCATGACCTTAATATCCCATTTATTCTTGATCTTATCCCAGCCAAATTTTCCAAATTTCACCAGAACCTTTCTCATCACCCAAATCCCGTTGTACAATCCCTATCAAGCACCACCCATCCCTACAATCCCCTTCGTAGGTTAAAGCGGCAGTGGCCACGAGACCTTTTGTAAATATGGATATTTTGGAGTTCTAGCAATGGCCAGATTCTCCACTCAAGTCATGAGTGTCTGTGGCTGTAGCGCTCTTACTCATCCTCCGCTGGTTTAAAATACCAGTGAAGTGGCTGAGGGAGAAGCGTAGGGATCTCCTAAGCCTCCCTTTTCCCTCCAAATGTGGAGGGGACAGGATTGGTTCGGGGATCACCTGGCAAATTGTAAATAATGTATATAGGTATGTTTTATATAAGGTGTTTGTTTTACTTTTATTTCTATTTTTATTTACTTATGTGTATATATATATATTTTTTTTTCTTTACTCTTTTGTTCTTTTTTCTTATTCTTTTGTTATTACTTTATTTATTTATATTTTTGTATATACGGTATGAATGCAATCTCTGAACTCTATTATAAGTGTCCTTAAACTGTGACAAATTGTAATATTTCTGAATAAAGTGTTTTAATAGTAAAAAAAAAAGTAATATTGCATACATTTTTAAAATGAGTCATACTTGACACAAAAGAATCAACAAATTAAATTTTTTGTTTTTTATAAAATGTTCCAAATTTTCAAGGGCATTTTTAATTCATTAATCAAATTAATAATTGCGAGGAAACAATTTGATTGCACCCTTTGCATGCTTCAATTCATTTTATTTTTTTCGACAACGTTTCATGCAATTTTGCCCATTTTTATGTCGAAATCTTTATCTATAATATTACAACACATCAATCAGCACATACAAAAACACTATAAAATCCTAAAAAGTCAACTAAATGAATACAATCCCTACTTGCATCATTATCCTATCATCTATGTTATGTTATTTTTTATATAATTATTACAAAATCTTTTTTCATTCTTATTCTCACATTCCTCTCGTATTAATTTCATAACTATTTATGAAAAGTCCATTCTAAAATTAAAATAAAATACTGAAATTTACAATACATCTCAAATAAGAAATGCCAAACAACGAATTTTTCAACAAATTTTATGATTCTTATTGACAATTGTAATAAAGTCAGTGTGATTATGATTAAATTTTTATTTGAGATATAAAGGTCTTTAGTCTTTACGAACAATAACGTTTTGTTTCCTTTAATTAAATATAATTTTGAAGTCATTATATTTTTATTTATTGAAATCAGTTAATTTTGTGTATTCTTATTTTATGTTAATAAATAGCAGTAACATGTTAGCGAATGAGTTCTAGTTCAGTTACTTTTATTTTATAATCTTATCATGTATCATAACCGTTTCATTGATGTTAGGTAATATTGGGCTTCGCGCAATAATGTTTGCTATAAGTATTTAAATAATAAATTGCAAAGGCATACAAATTAAAAATGGTACATATCTCTTAAAATTAAAACGAATTGCATATATTGGTTTTATTATTTTTTTTATATGAATCGACATAGCTGCCTAGTGAATATTCCTATAAACGTCACCCGATAACTTCGATAATCGCTTCGATCTGTGACATTCCTATCCCCTGAGTTGGTTGTAAAGCTCTGGACTCAAGGCAGTTATATTAAATTGCAAAAGGTGTGCTGACAGAATTACACCCTTAATAAATAGATAATAATAATATTTTTGACATTTATCTAATCATATTCAGCTAATGGAAAACAGGTTCATTTTCCTCGCCCATCAGGAATTATATCCTCTGCATATACTATTTCTTTATGGCTTATAAATTTTTCCCTCAATTTCATAAAGTAATTTACTACTAGATTTTTTTCTGGTGTGCTATGCGAAATGTCATCTCATTTATTGAACAAAGTAATGCATATATGATGTCATAAATAGATTACATATATAGTTTTAAGGTTTCGTGTTCAAATGTAAGGGTTTATTTTTAGATTTGTAACTTTTATGGGATGTAATTTTGTTTTTTATTAGTATTTATTTTAAAAGAATTTAATTAATGAAATTTTAATAATCTTACTGAAATTTATTTCATAATCTTGAATGTAAATGTAAAATATTCTTTTCCATTGATGAATACATTTTTTCATAATTGGTAATTGGTTGACTGTCGTGGATAATGAAGCGAAGAATAGTTGGGATGCTCAGTCAAAAAAGGAAGGCAAAAAATAAATTATAATATTTATTTTTTACATATGCCGACGTTTCGACCTGAAGTTCAGGCCTTCATCAGGGCTTTCTCCTTAAGTGTCAAGGGGAGAATCAGAATACATTTCAGAATACAATCAATTCAGAATACAATCAATTCAGAACACAATCAATACAGAATACATTTTTTATTTATATCCACATTACTGTTATTTGTAAGGATTTTTTAAATTATATTTGAATTGACTCAAATCAGATATGCATATCTCACTACTTGTTAAAATCTAATTATATTGATTTAGAGCTATGCAGTTTTAGTTTCCTACTTCTATATATTATTTTAAAATGGATATTCTGTCAATATTGAACTCTATATTACTTTGAGTATTTTTATGACACGTGAAAAGATTATTTCAATGAATGTCGCTTTTTTCGTTGGCGATAGAATACTAAAATGTCGTTTCACAGAAGTGATAAAAAACGGAAGTTTCAGAAGTGATACGTAATCGAATAATTTTACTTTAATTTCAGATCGATAAAAAAAATTCATTTTTGCATATTATACCTTCTTACTTCGCCACATCGCCATCTTTCTTATCTAGACATTAGCATTAATAAACAGTTTGAAAGTAATAGCTTTAAAATTATTGACGGGTACGATTTTTGTTTCTCGTTAAGACATTAAATATTCTTGGCGCAAATTAGTAAAGTTTGATGTAATTGAAGGATCCTGCTTTAATGTGTTTAAACCGGTCTATTAAATTCATTGAAGTTAATTACATTCTTGCCAACTAATTATTTCCAATTAATTTTTATTGCCGTAATGAAATAATTCCTGTCATAAATTACTTCTACGGTATAAATTACTATTTAAACAATTAATTTTAATTTTAATTAAATTAAATTTTTTGTTTCATTATAATAAATATCAACGAAATTGATTGAAGAAATTGCGAGCTAGTCACTGTAAGTCACCGGAAATAAAAATGGAAAATAAAACAAAATTATTTGGCTACAACGTATGTAATATTTCTATTTAAATATTTCATTTTTATAGTTAATTGATTGAAAGCCAAAACCTTCATATAAGGAGCAAAGAAAGAAACTTGTACTAAAGCTAAGACAAGTTATTTTAAATACAAATAATATGTATATTTATAATAATGTTTATTTTTCTTACATTTGCCTCATTTACTAGGAAATATTTCATAGTATGAATATACATTTCAATTTAAAAAAAAAAAACGTTCTAAGCGTAAAAAGCTGCAATTCTATCTTTTCGGCATTCACAATTCTTTCAATTTTATAAGCGCCATTTTGATGAAACTTCTCTAAAGTTTTCAACTTAAAGTCCTTTAACTTTTCATATATTGTATATCTAAATTTTACAAGTGGTTAGATAAGATATCTGGTTTTTGAACCCATCTTTTAAGGATATTCTGCTCTCCAAAAGCATGCACCTCTGGTAACATTTCAGGTGCTAATTTGAAACATGATAAAATTTTGTACAAACCATAACTTAAAAATAATCTGGATAAGACCAAAAGATACAGCAAACAGTTTTCGTCTTGTGAGTAGACACCTTAGTCATTTTCGAATGGATCCCTTTACTCACTAATGATGACCACTAATAAGTCCTTTCTTTAAGTACTTCAATAAATAAATTTATTTTTATAATTTATAATTAAAACGTATAAAACCCTACTGCAGTACCTTAACATCCCATTTTTCCTAGATCTTATCCCAGAAAAATTCTCCAAATTTCACCAGAACCTTACATATAATCCAAATCACCTTGCGCAATCCCTATCTAGCACCATCCATTTCTTTTAAGAAGGTTAACACGTCAGTGATCCCTCGACCTTTTGTAGTATTAATATATTGGAGTTCTGGCAATGGCCAGATTTTCCACTCAAGACATGAATGTGCCTAAAGTGCTCTCAACCAATCTCCACTAGGTTTTGTACCACTGGCGCGGTTACGAGAGCATTGCAGGGATCTACTGAAGTTCTATTTTTCTCTTCATAGTTGGAGGGACAAGCCAGTCTTGGAGTTCCCCTGCCTAATTGTAAATATTGTATATAGGTATTTCTGTGTTTTTTAAAATTTACTTATGTTTAAGTTTTTTATTTAAATTTATTTTATTTGCTTTTTGATTATTATTCAGTTGTTATTTTTCTTCTGTTTATTTTTTATTTTCTGTACATATAGTGTGAATGTGGTCTTACCTCACTAGTTTCTATTTGACAGAATATTATATTATATAATAAATGAAAAAAAAAGTTTCTAATTATTATTAAATTGTCACTTTGTTAATTTTTTAATTAATCTCTCAATCCTCTAAACTGTATATGATTTTGTATTTGTACAAAACTGTATTTTCTCCACGTTGCGTCTTTTGATTTTTTAGAGGAAATTTAAAAAGAACAATCATTCAAGAGAGGATGCACTGTCCTTTGTAAAGCGTGTATCTTCTTGTATTCGCCTACTTTTAACGGACCATAGATTAGGGTTTAGAATACATACAATTCAGCTACTATACAAAATATTCTTTGTAATATCGTAAAAAGCGAACTGAAATGCCCCTTATAGTTTGTTAAGAGCCTATATGTAGAGCTGGAAAAATAATTATGGATGCACGTGTTCCCCAACCTGTACAAGCGTGCAAGTCATAACGCTCCCCGCAGCCGATACACGAATAGGCTAATTCAAGCGGGATGGATATCGTGGGGGCAGGTGATATGATGACTTTTAGAAATCGTCTATATCTGGTCACCAGTGGCTTTGTCCATAGGCAGCTGTTTCCGACCTCTGGGATTCAATTATATTTATGCTCGGCTATCGTAAGGTGTAAAGTGCTTTTTCATGTGCTTCTGATAGCAGGGCTAATAGCTCAATGATTTAGAACTTCTCCGCCTCTTTATGGATTGATTTGGTTCATTGATTTCTAGGCGTTATTTATTTTTTTTTTTTTGCTCAACCAACTGTAGAATTTGTACGTTACAGGTGATGTGAGAACATTTTTTTAATTGGTGTGGGATATCCTATTTACTAATAAGGATAGTCATTCTCTTGAAAAAAAAAAAGAACAAATGGCCCAATTTTATGCCGTTTCAGGTTTCCAAACAGAAATAAAGTTCAGCATCAATGTAAGCACTAAGTATAGTCTGAGGTTAGAGGTAAAGACTAAAAACTAATTATAAAAAAAAGTTTAAATTATTGAAAGTCTTGTAAATGTGGGAAAACCAATGAATGAATTGATTTTCCTTAATTAAAATTTTCTATTCATCTAAAACTAATTGATATTAATATTATATTGTATATATATATATATATATATATATATATATATATATATATATATATATATATATATATATATATATATATATGTGTTATTGTATATATATATATGTTATCGCCTCTACTCCAACTACCATTGGTGCTAATTTTTATAATCTATTATAATTCTTAGTTTCCAAAATGCGTTTGAATAATGACTTTATCTTCATTGTCTCTCAATATTTCCTTCATTGTCGTTGCTAATTTTAGTTTTTTTTTTATTTGTTTAAACAGTAGGCACTCAAGTAATAGATGTTTTACTGATTGTGATATGTTGTCACACTTTTGGCACGTGAGTGCTTCTATACTCCTAAGAAGGTACCCGTGCGTGAATGGGCATTGACCAATCCGTAATCGGCACAATATGGTTTCCTCTCTTCGGTATTTTTTCACGTGATTGTAGCCCATTTCTTGCGCTCTGTTTTTATTCCTACTAATTTGGACTCTTTAATTTCCCATGTTTTTTCCCACCCTGTATATGTAGAATTTAAACTGTATATTTAAATTTATTGAATGAACATATTGATTATATCTATGAATTCATATTTATATTTATTGTTATTTGGTTTACTGAAAAAAGTCACTAATCTGCATTTTGTGAAAAAAAATGTATATTTATTATTGAATTACTATAAGAAATAGTAATTAATGATTATTTCAGATAGAGAAAAATAATTTCAACTTTCTCTATAAAAAGATATCCATCCCAACATTGCTATGTCGATCGGTTCAATTTATTTCAGTATTGTAGTTATTTTATGTATAGCTAAATTCGATGCTATAAATTATCTGGTATTTAGTCTTGTATGTTACAGGATTACATATTTATGATGATCACTAAGACTGTTGAATGATCATTCATCAGTACTCGAGATCTTTTAGATCTCTTTTAATTTGTCACGATAACTTTCTTTAATTTCTACCATGGTCTCATATGCATAGAAAAACTTACTGGAGATCGTACACTACCTTGTGGTGTTTCTTCTTAAATATAATATTTAAACCTTATGGACAGGTTTAAGAGAATAATCGATAAGCAAAAGTTTTAAGAATAAAGGTTTACGTCGAGCCTTCCGACAAAATCCGACGGAGTTTGTATCAACATGTTATAAGCTTTGAGTGACTGTCAAATTTCAATAAAATTATACCTTTTGTAGCACGTTTGTTGAATAAAAGTATAATCTATAACTTTGTAAGAGAAGTATTAAGAGTAAGAGAAGTATTTGCGCTATAAGTATTCATTCATACAATATGTTCATACAAATGGGAAATAATATAAATAATAAAACAAAAAATAAATGCAATAAATAAAGTTAAAATAAAATAATAATAAATAGGATTTCTATATAGAATAATAATAATAGATATGAAATTGAGTAAAAATAAAATAAATGTTATAAAAAACTACCTATGAACATTATTTAGAATCAGCAAACCAGACTTGTCCCTCCACAGGACTACAAGAATTCCCTGTGCTTCTCTCTCAACCGCCTCCGGTGGTATTAAATGTCAGTGGAGATTGAGTGAGAATATTTTTTTCCCCCCTACCTCTGGCATTGCAGCCATACGGGATAGAGCGAGAACACTATCCAATATATCTAGAATTTTTTTTATAAACAATATATCACTTCACGGCCAGATGAGCCAATTCGTGGAGACAGTTTCTTCCCTCGGGCGGATCGGGAGTTAATGAAAACGTTTTGCTATTTGTCAGGGTGGGTGGTGATTAATGCCTCCGCTGAAGAAAGCAGAAAGGGTTGCTCCCAGTTTATTATACTTTATGCAGATCCTTCCGAAGAGTGGTTAATGTGCAAGGACTTGATAAAGCGGTGTCCGTTACAGGATCGGAAAGAGGTGGCGAGCCGTAGCTTTATCAAATATAATTTATTCAACCCTTTGAGCCATCAATTACAAGAAGGAGGTCCTGCGTAAGAGGAAGGGTTAGCCGCCAGATTACCTCAAGAGGGAGTAGCATTTATCAACCTCCACGTCATGGCCAAGTCGTCGGATTAGCATCCTGATGAAGACGTCCTCAGGGTACACACTGGCTCCTTGGAGATATGATACAGTCAATATTGCTCCAACGTCGGTTAAGGCTGTTTGTGTTGAATCAATTGGGATTCGATAATTCAATATAAACAGTTCAAGTTCAGGTGTATTCCGGCTAAAGAGATTAGTAAATTCTTAAATTTTTTTGAGTGCAGAAGCAACAAAATAAAAACAGATTATTTTTTCTGCACAATTCACACAATTTTCACCAGAAATAAGTTTTTCAGACAACTGAGGAGTAAAAATTACAGACGCTATATTTAATTGTGGACATTTTTATTTGTTTAAGTACCCTTATATGTACCGATTTTAATATTTATATCGCTGTAATCTACACAATTAAATATTAAATAATATCAATGATAGCATTCATGAAAACCGCTTATGTATATGTAAATAATATTGTTCCATATGTACATAATATAGAGTCCGTATTATATTAAGCTCATGTTACGTATGGAAGTCTGTTTTAACCTTTCGGACGAGATCGGGTGAACCCAGCCGCGCTCGTATTTCTTTGGTTTCTCCATTAGGACTATTCTCCGTTACGATCTCTTATTTCTCCTTTAGTTAATTATAATTTTTTTTTAATATTTTGTATTTTCTATTATTATATCAAAGATTAATGTAAAATGGTTAGTTATTTCAAATAAAAAAAATTAAAGGTATTTTACATGAAGTTAATGTTAAAAACTAACCATTTAAGCCCTGTCAGAGAACATCAATGTGAATAAAACCTGCATTATATTTCAAACTGATTAATTTTATTCTGATATAATGAATTTAATCAAAATTGTTTGAGGAATTTTGAGGAAATCGTAAAAATGTATTAAATCGATTATATAAAGTGACACTTCTGGTAAGCCTATTTTGACGAAAATGTTGCTGTAACATCTCAAGCATATAAGAAAACGTAAATATGCAATTTTATTTTCGTACAACTTATCGTTTTTGAACTAGACTGTTACACACGCTCAGACCATTTTTCGAGACTTCGTTATATGGACTCAGAGGACCTCAAAACGTATATTTCCGTTGAAAACAGAAATTCGAAAATGTTCAGAATCGCAATACATCCCTTTACTATATATTTCATTCATAGGTAAGTGAAAGTAAAAATGAACGGTAAGGTTTACAAATGTTGTGTTGACAAATATACTTTAGAAACTTAGGGGTTCTTAAAAGATTTATCGTTTTTAGTAAATTCAAATGAAAAATGTATATTGAAAAAGGGACAGAGCTTTCTCAAAAACCTAAAAAAAAAAAAAAATGGTTATTTAACAATCAATTGTTGATTCATAGATGTTTTTAACGAGTTTTGGAAACTTGTAAATTCTAATAACCGATCCATAAAATTTGCTTCATTGTTTTTTTATTTTATTTATTGTTATTTTACTACAAAACAATAAATAAATAAATAAAATAAAATTCTGAAATCTTAACGCAGTGCGAACTGTGGGATTATGCTTATTATGTTCTGTTTTTTTAAAAATTAATACTAATTTCTAGTTTCATCTCTTGATATCTACTTACTATGTTAGTCATACAGACTAGTCATTTCTGTTTTTTCTATTAAAAAAAAACTTACATGATAACTAAATTTTTTAAAATATATTTTAAACATTTCACAATTTATTTTTTTTTAAATTAATAATCATTTGTAGATCTCAAGATAACTTGCTTTAGTTCATTAATATATGTATTTAGGAGTTTATTTTTTAAAGTCATTTTTCAATGGTAGCTAGAACAACAACACATTAAATCAGAAGCAGCCGATAGGCGAAGACTACAAACACTACAAAAGAAATAGGCGTTCTAGCAGCCATTTTTAGCGTTTGCTGCCTTTGTATCAAGATTTAAGGAAACAGTCCATCTCACTTAAAATGCCTCGAGGCAGCCAGGCCAGGGGGATGTGTCTTCTAAATGGCTAATAATTTTACCAACCAATTTAGAAAAAGTCATTGTAGTCAAGCCATTAAAAACAATAGATCCCCTTTTGATATTTCTTTTTTCCACGAGAGAAAAATAACATGGAGTAAATAAGACTATTTATATTAAATACAAAATAATTTATAGAACTATTGACATTTATATTTACAGTTGGATTTGATTTTTTTTTATGCATTCAAATATTTATACGCATCTATCACGATAGTGACAATCAGCAGATTTGTTATGTCAAATTGAATGATTGGCATTAAAATTATGAAGAAGGATAGCGTCCAGAAGTAAATCTTCCTGGTTGTTGTCTAATTGATGTCCTGATTCAGGGAATGAGATCTCTAATCCAGCTCCTTTTAAGTAGTCTGATGGACATGCCAGTCGTGGCAATGTCGGTTTTATAAACCGAATTATTTCGATTGTTGTGTTGGTTTATTTTAATATAAAATTAAAAACAATAGATCCCCTTTTGATACTTCTTTTTTCCGCGAGAGACAAATAACATGGGGTAAATAAAGTTATTTATATTGAATACAAAATAATTTATAGAACTATTGGCATTTATATTTACAGTTGGATTTGATTTTTTTTTTTATGTATTCAAATATTTATACCCACCTATCATGATAGTGGCAATCAGCAGATTTGTTATGTCAAATTGAATGATTGGCATTAAATCTATGAAGAAGGATAGCACCCAGAAGTACATCTTCCTGGTTGTTGTCTACTTGATATCCTGATTCAGGGAATGAGATCTCTTATCCAGCTTCTTTTCAGTAGTCTTCTGATGGACATGTCAGCCGTGACCATGTCGCTTTTATAAACCTTATTATGTCGATTGTTGTCTCGGTTTAATTTAATATAAAATCCGAAGTAGAGAGTAAGTATGTGTTGGTCCACAGTTGGTTGTCATAATTCGGTATATTTATTGTTTACCTACCAGGGAGTTGCTGTTATTGTTCTCCGGAGATTTCCGACTTATACAGTATTTCTCAGTTCATAATGGACAAACTCTGGGGGGGGAGAGGGAGGAATGAGTGAGAGGGAGATGATTCTAGAGGAAATTTTCCTACATAAAAGTTCATTTGATCCATGGGCTAATTCCGAACGAAAAAGGAATTAAGACTAATTTAGTGTTTTCCTTAAGGTGTTCACGTTTCCACGTTCACGTGTGTGTGTATATATATATATATATATATATATATATATATATATATATATATATATATAAGTGTTGCCCAAAATTGGCACTTTTCTAGACCATGACCAAGGGCCTCCTAACTGTTACAAGACCAAGACCATGATTGGTAAAACTATATGTTTGGATTGGTAGTTACTGTATGTAAAGAATTGCTATAAACAATATACTTTTGCATTTAACTCTAATTTTTAATTGGGGCTTAGTTATTTTTCCCCTATCTAAATAAATACAGTAATATCTCTATAATAAGCTAATAAGTAACTGCAATACCGTTGCGCAAGACCAAAACCATGGCCAAGACTGAGTTTGCAAGACCAAGACTCGCATCGGTCTCGCATTTGGGCAACTCTACACGTTTTTGTCGATATTGTGATAATATGTTTCAAAAGTATTTAAATTTCCAAAAAAGTCATCGTTAAAATTGGACAATTTGGAGCAAAGGTATGGTCTCTAGATGTTTTTTTGTATGTTACACTGCAAAGGCTATATATTTTGTTTTGTTTTTTGATTTTTGAATGTGTTACTGAAGGAATGCTAATTTTTTTAGGTTATTACTAATGATTAAAAAAACCTGTTTAGTCCAATAATTGGAATCATTTTTTATTTATTTTTCTTTGTAACTAGGAAGGTAATGTTACTTTAAATGTATAATTGTTATAAAATAATAAACCATTGTGAAATAATTTGCAGCGTTTTTTCGCGTAATTCTCGTAAATGGATCGTTTTTAATATGGAAATCGGCAAATTTAATCCATTTAAGTAGTTACTAAAAACTCATGAAGACCCAATTGCTTTCCTCTTGAAACATATGATAATTTGATTGTAAAATCGAGTATGAATATAAAAGTATGGCCTACAAAAATATCGCGCCACTTGGAGCCTCCATCTCAATATGTCAAAATAACGAGATTATATAGGCCAAACGGTCCAATTTTTATAGGTCACCTTCTTTTTTTGGGGGATTATGCGATCATATTATCTTACGATTCAAGTGGAAAATAAATGGGTATTTATGAGTTTTTAGTGCGTAATTAAGTAATGAGAAAACGCCATATTACTCTGAGAATTTTCGGAGATACAATAGGATGAAGACTTTTTCACAAAGCTTTAGGCGGATGTTATAATTTTTTTTGTCTTGATGAAGGCATAGTCCAGCTCTTCAAGATCTTGAGAATCAATTTCAAGAAGCTGATGGCCACAGAAGATGTTAGGTGTTTTTGGTTTGCGAGATATGAGGCTTTCCTGGAGTGGAATCGCCTTAGCCACCAGCGCTATATCATTAAACCACCCCTCACAATCTGCGCGGGGGTGGGGGTGATCTCAAGCCATTGTTAATTATTTTTTTTTTCGTTAAGGGGTGGCGCCGCCGAGTTACCGCCCAAGATTAATTACCGAATCCGTTTTGTTCGCTCAACCTTTCAGTACAGGCTTTCGAGATCTTCACCCCACGCCCTCTCGGTCCAAAGGAGCTTTATTGGGGCGGTTTTGTTCTGCCTTTTCCTCCAGGGCAAACAATTCCTCAATCTCTTTAGCTTCGGTGCCGTAGGATCAATTTCTAAGCTCTGATAAAAGAGAAAAAATAGAATCCCCTTCTTTCGAAAAGAACAGTAGACTTTTTTTAGTCTTGTTCGGTATAAAATATTTATATTCTTGTACCAAGTATTTTTTTATCTTTTCAGTTAAAAAATATGTGTAATTATTAAATTGTAATAGTCATGTTTATTCTCAGTTCCTATTTTTAAAATTGTATACCGAATGAAAATTGCTTTACAGTAGGTTCAAAACAATGTTTATAAACACTATTCAAAATTTGAAAATCCTCTAATTTTTTGTATATTTTTCATGGAAGTATGGAATAATATAAATATTTTTTTAGTATCTATGTTTTGTTAACGACAGTACGAGGTATCGCTAAAAAGTTAATTATTCATCTGATGCTAGATGTAATGACATTCCATTTTTCTTACTTGTTCGTATCATCTACAAATACTAAGTTTTACCAGCCGATAATTTCTTGACATTATTGACGTTAAAACGTATCTCATTTTTTTTATGTTACGTAGTACATCCACCACGGTTTACATCAAAGTTTGGTTGTTAAAAAACTTTTGAAGACTTACTTACCTTCTAATTAAAAGTTAGAGTCTAATAATTTTTTCCACCACTGCTACCTAGCCTGTTAGCCTATACGAGCTTTTTCAGGGTCAGGAAAAAAGGTAGGAGATTAACAGTCCCGACATCAGGACATGATTTGCTAAATCTATTATTTTTTTTTTTTTTTAGAACTCTAAAAACTAGATAAATTGTTTTATTGATACCTTGTGGAGTTCCTAAAAATATTTTCAGTTGGCATAATATACAATTTTGACTGTTTTTATTGAATAGCTCATCTGAAAAAAAAATAAATAGATTCAGCCGATGTCGTGGGTTTTCCCTTACTCGTCTCACTGTGAGCCGCCCCCAAGTAATATGAAATGAAATAAAAATATTTTTATTATTCTGGGACTATTGTCCCTCTAGGACAAATTATAAGGATAGGGTAAATGCCAGTGTGGCCATACATAAATTAAGTATTCACCAAATAAGAGTTGATTAAAAATAAAAGTATAGGTAGAAATAGAAAGAGAGAAAGGAAAGAAAGAGAAAAAAAATAAACACATAAATATACATATAGCTAACATAGGAAACTTGAATAACATAAGTAAACCGGAATAGTCTCTAGGGGTACTTGAAGAGTTCTCTTAGGTACATTGACAGTCTGATTGGAGAACGAGTAGGTGTTTAAAGTGGAGAGGTTTGAAAGAGTCTCATCATAACAACTTGTCAAGCCAATCGAGTTTGTTATTGAACAATTAATAAAATTATTAATAAGTACTCAGTAAAAAATTATTAATAAATAGACCAGGGTTAATGTATTAAGATTAACAATAGGTCTCAAAATTTTAGCCCATCTACTTTTTTTTTATAATTTTTTGTCACATTATTTTAAAAGTAAATTAGCTATACGTTTTTTTGCTTTTTACTTTACATGTTTTTTTTTTAAGTGAAAACTTCTTTGGACGAGTTTTGCACATTTTTGTGGAGAGTGAATTATATTGACCCGTCAGGATTCCTTCTGCATTAACGCTCAGATTAAGTCGGCTATAGTTGACTAATCAAAATATTTTTACATATAGATTAAAATATCTCAGAAACTATAAATCGGGCCTGCATACTATATCCGAGTGAAATTTTCAGCATTTCATCTTCTTTGTTATGAGCTATTTATTTATAATTTATATTTTATATTATTAATCTCACCTTGTTAATGTTTTCACTTATATCGTATGACAGGGTTGCCCAAAAGGAGGTTTCATCACGCAAATTGCTCCACCAAAATTTTTGAGGCGCCATATTTTGACGGAGTTATGAATTTTCCGACTAAGTGATATGAGAAAAAATACCGCATACCGCAGCACATGTTAGTGTATATGGTTTACTATTTTTCTAATTCTATGTTAGCTTGCTCTATTTTTAAGAAAAGGTGAACAATAAAATATTTTGAGAGGGGGGAGCGTGGTCACTCCTTTCGTGTGGTCTGAATCACACACCTTATTTTTTTCGTTATTTTGCATTTATGTACAAATCGTAGACCGGATCATGTAAATATTGGTCAGCTAACAAGAAAT